ACTGGGCCCTTAGTCTCAAGTTTTTCATGTTACAACTCCCAATGCGTTGATGGTGTCATGTGGTACCATCTCACACTCTGAAGTCAAATTGGTAATCTCGAGTTCTAACTCACGTGTTTTCCCATCTCACCATGCGAGTTGCTACTCACGTTGAGTTGAGCATGTGAGATCGCTAAGTGAAAGTGAAAATGGTTGACAAATACGCAATTCTTATCGCTATTGAACAGTTAGAAAGAGCCGAAAGACGATTGAGAAGGCAACAAATTTTTCGAAAAGTTCGACTTGATGTGTCTAACTTGAGACTACCGATTGTGAGTCATAGTAACATGAGTGAGTTCGATGACGTCAGTTCGAGTACAACACGAAAAACTCGAGACTAAGGGCCCTGGCTGTACTTTGTACAAGTGTTTGTTAAGGAGTTGAAGAATAGCCGCATGTGCCTAATAATGCTCGAGCTTTAATTAACTGAGTGGAGGATTGATGAGATCGGGTTAGGAGAGAGTGATAAAAATAAAGGTCTTAGTAACATAAATGTACATTTATTAATTAATCTGAGCATTTACAATAATAAAACTGTACTGCTATGTTAATGCTTGCTTGGACTTTATGGGTAATTGGGCTGGGGACCCCCCAGAGTAGTTTTCTACAGCGTTGAAGAATATTCATGCCAAATTTTTTGCAGATACATTGAACGGTATAGAAGAACTCTTTACCTAACAAACATACATATATATTTTTGGCATATATACAGTGAATAATTGGTTAATGAACATAATCTGTTCAAAGGCAATGAATTGTTCATTAACCGATTATCGATTTATCGTAGATTTTTATGGGAATTTAATTAATTTGTTGTGGAGACGCCAAAAATAAATAAAAAATTATATAATTTCTTACTATGTTTATTTACATGTAATAACAAACTAAAAGCAATCTCTCTATTTTTTCATGGATGGCACATCTTTGTTTCTCAGATGTGATTTTTGTTACTCTTTATCTGCTTGAGTCTTTTTGATTATTAGGTAAGATTGTACAGTAGACCCCCCATAACACTGTTGATAATTCCGTGTTATATGAATTCCATGTTGTACGAGTCACTCAGATTTTACAAATACGTATGCTGGGCTGTGAATGGCTCATGTATTTGTAAAATCTAAGTGACTTGTACAACATGGAATTATAATTATTATAGAGGGGTCTACTGTATCTACTGTAGACCTGTTGAAGCCATACTGCCTAGCAACATCACACATCTACCCATTCTTTACCTTGGCTATTATATCTTGCTTAGTTTCTATAGTGAACACAGTTCTTAACATTCAACTCTTTTAGGCCCCATATTATCAATCAGTTTTTTTAAAATAAAAAATCTAGAAAAAACATTACAAAAATTCAGAGAACAGAAATCAACTAGTGCAAAAAAGGTTATGTATACAACTGTGAAAGTCTTATTCCATAAACCATTCATAGATGCCAGTAAAATATAGTTTTATAAATCTTAAACACAGCGCCACTTCTCGTGTTTGTTCTGTGAGATGTTCATTATCTGAACATGTGTTTGTTGTCCGAACATAAAAATCTTTCACAAAAGTGTTCAATACACATTAATGGATATAAATAGAATCAATTCACATGAGATCTTCAAATCTCAACATTATAAATGTACCAGGTGATCAAACAAAAGAACTTGTGAGAAATATCATGATGAATTTGGCAATGTTGTGAACACAATACATTCTCATGGCATCACCAAGTCTGATTCAGCACTGCCAAACATTCTCACAAGTTCTCTTCTTGTTTGATCACCTGATATTGTTTTAATATCATCAAATATTACTTATATGTAGAAACATTAACCAGCTTAATCAACAAACACACATTCAAATATGCTAACTCAAACTGAAACTTAATTGTACTTTTTTATTAAATGAAAAACTTCAATAGCAATTGCATGATGTAAAATTTCCTTTGTCATAATTTACTATCAGCTTATATGTATTTTGTACAGTGAAATTCTGAAATATTTTGTTTATTTAATGTAAATAATTAGGGGGAAAATTTTAAAGAAATATTATAAACAAACATACAGGTAGTCAGTATTATTTAAATACAGATAATTTTATATTTATAGTACAAGATAATTCATAATTTAATCTGTATATTATCAATAATTAATAGGCAATTTTTGCTTCTACTAATTGATGATAATGATAAAATATTTATTAATCGTAATTTTTTAACCTTTTATTACAAATTATTGATTAAATATATGATGTGTTTAAAAGAAAGACAAGAGGGAAAAGTTTTCTTATAAGAGAAAACCAACATTACAGAAATTATTCAGCTGATTGCAAAAACTAAATTTTGTGTGTGTAGAAATCATTTTGTAATATCAAAAATTTTTTAATATATAATTTATTTCTTAATGTTTCTGATATTAACATTTTTCAAAATTCTGTTTGTATTGTAAATTTAAGAGATCGTTTTTTATGTCATCATGGATATAGCCAGGTCAACAATGGGGCAAACTGGCTGACTAGAAATCAAAGTACCTATGGAAACCTCTAAGATCATATCTAGACCTAAATCTAGATCCACTAAATTGGGAAACATAATTCAAAATTGCCTCATGTAAAGTTCTTTTTATCAGTTGGATGGACATAAAATTCATTTGTAAAATAATTAAGAGAGATAACTAATTGTTGGAGGTATGTATTATTCCAAAGGAATACTTCTACATCAGACTTTTTAAAAATACAAGTTATATAATTTTTTGTAATTAATGAAAAAACAAAAAGATGAAAGTTCACGACATTTAAAAATTTGTGGAGAATTTTAAATTGTTAGAAAATCACAAAACAAACACTGTTGTATAAGCTGAATGTTTCTAGTTTAAAACAGGAAAAGTTTCATGATAATAGCTTTAGTAGAAAAAACGTATGACAAAAGACACGGAAGTTTTCACATTATAAGTCCAAAATTATCCATTTAACGAAGAAACTAACTAAATAACAATTTTAAATATCAAATTTACATCTAGCACACCAGAAACAGTAAGAATTTTTTAATATTTTCTCAGATGTAATTTACTTGTTGACCAGTGTAATTCAGTAAAGTGACTCTACTTCAAAAAGAAGTTGTTTTGAAATTACAGAATGCCAAGCTATTTGTTCAGAAAAATTAAAATGTATCACAGTATCACACAGTACACAAATGTATCGGTATCACATCTTGAGATGTGTCTCAAGAATATTGCAACATATTTCAATAATTCTCCATTTTAGGAGCCTAATCTCACCGTTCATTCCTAATATATTTGTTCTGTATCTGTATAGTGTGTGTAAAGAAATTGGATCGTAGCCTTAGTGCTTAACAAAGCCTTGACTAAGAAAGGCAAGATGAATGGAAAATAATAGTGCAGATGTCCTTGGCATTCTTGCTTCAACTGTTTATGAGAAAGTACTATTTTATCACTACAAGAAACCATAGGTATCGTTTGAGAATTGTAGTCCATCTCTGTACAATGCATCCAGGAACAATCTTTTATAATCTATAGCTTCCTGAATGCCCAAATGGGACAAGATGACCAGAAATGCAAATAGCATAGAGCAGTGGTCTCAAAGTATAATCTGTGGACCACCGACGATCCACAAGCACGTGCCAGATAGCCAACTTCAAAAATGCAATTCTACGCTGTTTAGTCAGAGAAGTGAACATTTTTATGCACCGCACATCTCTTACGTTAGATTACAGGATAAACAAAATATTACGACATGCACCCAACAAGAACAGAAGTGGACAGCAAGTACCGACGATCTGTGGTTTGTACGTTTAAGCAATCCACAAATTGAATAATTCGGAGAATTGTCAGTATAGGAAACACCAACACTTCATAACATTTGGTTCCAAAAGACAATTTTAAAGAAATTTCCTGCATTCCAAGCAAAAGAATTACTTAACAGCATCAAACCAAACATTATTTCACTTTTACACACAAAATGCATAAAGACGCAATTTTTGCTTTAGTAAACAATTCTTTATGGCATACCCATTTTACAAGTGACGTTATTAGGCACAATTACACCCCCAAACGAGACAGTCGGCACCTCATCAGAGCCGCAGACCGTACACGTAGGAGCAAAAAAAAGTCAAAGAAACCGCGCGACCCTCGGCAAGATACGTCTTCCAGATCGCACGCAATCGAGAATCGGCGCAACTACCCGCAGAGCACGGAGAACGGGCAGTACACCAGTACGCGATAAAATAAAAACAGACCTCTGGTGGCAAATATCTCACAGTATACGGGTACGTCTCCTTTGGCTTTTTCTCTCATATGGGGGGGTCTAAATTCTGGGGTGAGCGGGGGAATCGCTCGATTTAGCATTCACATTTTACCAGGGCTGTGGAGTCAGAGTCGTGGAGTTTTGGTGTTTTAGCCGGAGTCGGATGGTAAGGAAAAGTCGGAGTCGGAGTCGGTAGATTTTTACGCAACTCTACAGCCCTGGCAGGGCTGTGGAGTTGGAGTTGGTAGATCTTTACGCGACTCCACAGCCCTGCATTTTACGCACATTAATGCGTAACAACACGCTTTTCGGCATTTTAACTCGCACTTTTTTAACACTTTACATCTGCTTAGAAGAATGCAGATGTGAAATAGCCTTACTTTAACGAAAGATGGCGCTGTACACACATCTACTTTTGCTGTTGTTATACGGATAAGTGGCCGAACCTCCTGATGATTTCTGCCTAATTAAGTCAATGTATTACCTTTCTACACAGGAAATTACCTTTAAAACTCGTTGAAACATCACACAATCGTGTTTTTTTTTATGTTCCAGCCGACATTTTAACGAATTAAATGACTTAGAAATTTACATTATCTTCTGCCAACTTATGACATTATGCAATATATTATACTTTAACACTGCACGAGACTACTGTTAAAGTATAATAAACTCCTTTATCTTTATATTTATTCTCAATTATCGAATGTCTTTTACCTTTTTATTTTACTTTTCGGCGTTTATCTTTAAATTTTCCTCTCTTCCGATTTTTCCAAACGATGATTCGGCTTAACTGCCAGACGAACGCGTACAGTACTTGCGGCTGCCGTAGAGGGGAGCTTCAAGCTATAGCCAAAATGTCGCCAAAGTAATAAATATAAAACTGTAATATTTTTTTTTATCTGATTAGTTAATTAGTTTGATTAATTGTAAAAATTTTTTTATTTTTTACCGATTATTAATATATTTTTTAAAAATTTCACAGAAGGCGATTTTATTATATTTCGGGATTAAAAATGGTGGTATAGAGATTTGTTCGTGTTTCCATAAAGAGGAACCGGGTTTAAGTTCTCAAGCGGGATGAAACTTCTTTTCTTTCCCCCTTTATTTTATATATGTATATATTTTTTTGTTTAACCGTTTCCGTTCTGAGGGCTTTGTTTTTTTTTCTATCAAGCCCATTATGAGTTTGATCATACCTTTCAACAATACGGCCGGTTTTCGAGGGACGGGACCCGACTTATTCAATCTGACCACTCCCGAAAAATTCCTGGGTTTTGAGAGTCGGGGCTGACATATTCGGTTGAACAATTCTCCCGAATAATTTCTGGGTTTTTTTCGACCGATCCGGAATCGATCCCGAGTTTTAGTAGAGTTTACGTAAGCTGCCATCTTAACCGTTCGGCCATCCGGCCGCCTTCTTTTTATATAAATATTAACACAAAATTAATGGTTAAAATGTCACGAATAAATATAATTTGTACAATATTTAGTTAAATACTTGATATTTTTTAAAATCGACCAACCGAATTTCTGTACAATAAGGGCTTCCTTTATCGCCGGGAAGATTCGGGTTCGAAATCCTTTCACGAATAGTTCGGGCCGGGACATGAATAACTCTCTAATATCAGCGGCCAATTTTATTGCGCATCAATCCATTTAACATGACCATAAATAAAAAAAGCTATAAATTTCATTTTTCGTTTAAAATTCTTAAAACCCTCCGTCCTGTGGGTACTAACAGGGGTATTTTCAATCCATCGTGGATTCGGCCAGGCCCACAATGGGGAACGATGAGGGTTGGGATCTGACGTATCTAGGGCAGCTCTCCCATTAAAAATTTCTAGGGTTTTTTCCCGGATATGATTTCCGTGTCTTCCAGAGCGGTAATCTATCGCTTTTTCGAAAACTCTCCCAGCCTTGTGGGAAATAAGGAGAGCTATTTTATCAAGCTCGTTATGAGTCCTGGCAGGCCCACATCTGGGTAGCGAGGGATGAGACCCGATATTTCCGGAAAAATCACCACAAAAATTCCGGGAGTTTCTGGACTCGTCGGAATTCGAACGAGTCCACCAGGTTGACACCTCAACAGCACTCGGATAGCGACCCGCACTCCCAAAATTGAGTTTTATTTTGTTCATTGAGCACGCAAGATCTTATTTAAAAACAATTTTTAGAGAATAGTTTCGTATAGTTTTAGTATTGTGTCTGCTTACACCGTTCTAGAGATTCAAAAGGGTAAGTTTCTAGAACGATTTACTATCTCCACACCTTGATATTATCGCAATCAGAAACCAACCACATCAATATAAGTCCACTAAAAATAAAATTTTTCTATTAAAAAAAAAAATGCATGCTATATGTACACGAGACAAATCCATACAAGTGTTCTTTAATACGACGCGTATGAACGATCGATATCGATCTTTAGATTACAGATGTTATCTTGAGACTCGTATATCATTTTTTTTTTTTTGTAAATATGTAGGAGCATGTTTAAAGGTCATTTAATGCTTCATACAACTGACATGAATAATTTCTATATTTAAACGCGGAAAGTTTTCTTTTTAAACATTTTAATGTTAAAATCTCTGAAGAGCGCCGTGCGATAACTGCGCGAAGAGTAGGAACCCACAAGGAGAATATAAACAGAAAAAATGATAACTTTTAACATGAAAAATATCTAATAAATCAGTTTTTTCTTGCATATAAATTTCATACTGCTTTGATAATTTTCTTATGCATATAATCCTAACACTAAGCATTCAAACTAATAGCTAAGTATGGCTTAAGTTGCTAAGATGTCTGCTATTCTGAGGGCCAGGTTCGAGTTAATATCGAATAATCGAAAATTTTCAGCAATAATCTGGCCCAACATCCAGAATATCTCGGAAAATTTGTATCGTCTGACTACCTGTGGCATAGCATATGATTACCTTGTTATAACGATCTTATCCCTCCTCCTAGATACCCTATTCTGGGCGTGACCACGGTAAGAAAGCCATGACTGACTACTACCACTTGGCTACTGGTGGGCACACCAGTAGCCAAGTGGTAGTAGTCAGTCATGTGTTATGTTTTGCCAAAAGGCTGGCCACGTGGCGTGTAACATGTAAATGGGGGCCAGTTACCAACAGAAGTCCTCCTATGAGGCACCCATGTATTATGGTGCCATATCCCATCAATCCAATCAAATCAATATAACGTTGCAAGCAGGCTAAATACTCTCTGCAATATGTGCAGTGAGTATTTAGCCTGCTTGCAATGTTATTTGCTTGCAAATTTACTTGGTAATAGACTTGGTCTATTACCAAGTAAATTTGTACCCTCCGTAAATAGTATATGAGTCTACCTATAAGTAAGTACTGTACTGTACCATTAAACATATTTTGATGACCAATGGTCAATTCACAAAGGGAGCAGCCTACCATTTTGAATTCACGTTTATTTTTATATGGTAATACATGTGGGACATCTTCCAAATGGCAGTGCCTCCTGGGAGGACTTATTAAGGGAAACTGGCCACTATTTAGGTGTACAAATGTGAAGAAAATATAGCAAACTCCACATGGCCAGCCCATTAGCAACACATGAATCCATGACCAAATTTCAGTATTCAGTGGTTTTATCCACTTGGCCACTGGTAAGTAGTCAAATTCAGATGGGAAGAAACGCCCCAGGAAATTTTCAGGGAGTGGTCCATCCAGATATGTAGGGTTCTATCCCTCGCCATCCAAGTAACATGTTAAGAATGCTGCTTGGATGGCGAGGGATAGGGAGCCCACGTGTCCCAAACCTGAAAAATTCTTTGCAGCCACACTGATCAATGGGTTGGCTGCAAAGAATTTTACAGATTTTCCTCAGGCCTAACACTTAAATAGGGGCCAGTTTCCCATAAACTGTCCTCACGTGAGACGTCACTCCTTGCAAATCACTTGTATTGCATTGTCTTATCCCATCAATCCTATCTCAACTAAAACTAGTATTAGCTGGCATGGGTGAGGGATGGAAAACAATGTCCCCTGTGACAATTTGCGAGTCTGCATTGGATTTCAATTCGGATTCCCACAACAGTACGCTAACAACTTACTGAATATTGGTAGCTGCGACACTATTACAAATACTCTAAAATTATCAAAAATATCAGAAACTTCATAAATATTGAAAAAAAAATTACAAAATTTATTTTCTAAAATCAAATAGAGCAGTTAATAAAACAGATTTTTTTTTTATATATATAAAAAAGTCCTTTATAAGAATTTTTACACAATTAAAAATTTTATATATACATAATATTCACTTCATTGCACAGTTATGTTTACAATAATCCTTACTGAGGCATTTTAAATAATAAAAGAAATAAAAGAAGTATTCTTTTTAATTAATTTGATCTATGGGGGTCCCAAAGTTACAATACATAGAAAAATTGGATTGTCAGTTTCTGGGTTGGAGGACTGGTTGTCGTCATTCCATGGGGTAACCAGTGGTCCCGGCCTTATGGATTGTTTCATCTATCTTGACGGGCAATGCAAGGTACTACTCAGGACTCTGAAAGTTTTAAAATGTTTGTGAGCCTCTTTTTTGGTAACACAGTGATCTTGTCAAAGATTTGTCAACAGTCCATTCCCTTCACTAAGTAAATACACTGATCCCTACTACTGTGTATTTTTTGGTAAAGATGACAGCTGAACAGCCAAGCAGTTCATGTGACAGTCTACTAGTTAGATATATGGTTTGTAGGATTGAATCTAAACAGGTCATAAACCTCTGGGAACTTTTTTGGAGACTGGTACACCTGGATATGCTGGGCCCCATCCTTTGCAACCCAACTGCCCCACCATGGGTCTGACACAACCTGTAACAAGCTTACTAAAAATAGGTACTTTTAGTGTCCACGGGCAGAGTTGAAGAAAAAGCACTGTGAAGATCGAGCTGTTGGTTTTTATCTGTGGGGACACTCAAGGATTTGGTGTAGAGTAGGGGCGGCAAACTTGTGGCATGTGTGCCGAAAGTGACATGTAGTATCATATGATTTTAATTTATCATCTGTGTTTTTCAATCATCCTTTTATATTTATTCTGATTAAAGCATATTCGTTTAATTTCTTTAAATATATTATTTGAAATATAGGCAAGCATAAACATGTTTAAAGCTAAGTATGTTTACTATATGGCACATAGGCTCAAAGAGGTTTGCCATCCCTGGTTTAGAGAAATATTCAATATGTGGATCACGTAAAGATCAAATTGTATTGGAAGCATAAATCAGGCTCACAACACCTGTGTTAACACAAGTGAAAAAGAGAGACATCCTAGTGTGTTCAGAAAGATTGTTTTTATAAATAAAGTTGCCTTTTTCTAATATAGTGTTAAATTTTTAATGTATTGTGACTTTTGGGACACCCCGTATTATCCATAAACATGTAGGAAGCATCAAATTTGATGGGAACAGCTGTAATAAGAAATCTTACTACAGATTTGAAAAACAGGTATTAATGCCCATCCGATAAACAGATTGTCTCGAATCTGTTGAATCGAACCCTTGAACATAAATCTAATTCATATATATTTTAAGAAGCAAAAACTGTTTAGAAAAATGCTTTCGAGCCATATTCCCATCATCAGGAATCAACAAGATAATTTATCTTGTTGATTCCTGATGATGGGTATATAATTCGAAAGTGCTTGAGTTTTATAAAAAGGTTTTCCTCCTAGAAAAGCAAAGATTTGTAAAAATTATCAAATTAAATAATACGTATTTTGTAACTAAATTTTGGCCGAAAGAATATTTTGTAAGCTATATTTAAAATAAATAAATATTTCAATCTTTTTTTTTATTTATAATGACGACATGGAAAAAACAATACCGATACGAAACTAATTACAAAATTCTTTGAAAATTTAGAATATATGAATTATTACATTAATAAATTTAAATACATATACTTATATAAAGATTAATGTGTAGGTTAACATAAATAATCCGGATCAAACGATCATCTGGTGACTCTCGATATCAAATAATACATGATTATGAATGCTCCGACTAGAAACAAGCTGATGTAGCAAGTGATTTTTCTGTTTCCTCTCCCGGAATTCAAAACCTTGTGCACTCTCCCGAAACTTCCATGCAAGAAGCCCGTCGTGCCTTCAAAGTCGTCTCCCTAAACGAGAAAAAAATATGTAAATGTAAATTTCAAATTTAACCGAATATTGTATTTAATATATGGGGTGATTTAGAACCTCTGTAACAAAATTCTGCAGCATGATAGATCATGCAGAAATGTTTTAGTGCAACCCACATTCCCTGATGCATAGTTTAGAAGCTATGAGACCATGCAAACAGGCTGTAGATGATGGGTAGTACAATAAGGAAAGAGTATTGTTTTAAGTACACTTGCAGACAGTTCATGGGTGTTCGAATTATCCACCTAAATCTCAATACATTTATGACACTATAGTATACTACTCAAGATAAATTAAGTGTACATTCAAATAATGAATTTTTAACTACAGTAAAACTCTAATTATCCAAATATCCATTTATATGAACCACCGACTGTTCTCCTTCCTGCCTCCCATTGACATCACTCTTACGTCACGATCAGTGATTCTTATTTGCCGTGATGGATCCAAATGATTGGTAGAATGCTACTCACGCATTGATGAATAAATAAATACAGTACACGTACGATACTACGACGCTACCTTATAATTTCATTCTTTACACGTTGAACCAAGTTTTCAATTATCCGAATTGCCCGCAGAACAAATCAATTTGAATAATTGGTGTTCTATTGTTTGTTTGATTTTTGCTTTTTAGTTAAAATTACCGTATTTAAATATATATTATCACGTCAATTCTTTCGTTTTTAACTTCCACTTACATGCAGTATTTAAATTTCTTTATGAATCACTCATAAGAATGGGTACAAAATTGTATAATAATTCTTGCTTATTAAGTCTGCATGCCACATAGTGAACATAATTATGTTTAAAAACGTTTATGCGCACCAAAGTTTTAAACTTTGAATAATGATATTTAAAGAAATGAAATAAATGTGCTTTAATAAGAATAAATGTAATAAAAAATTGATTTTTGCAATATGAAATCATATGATGTCTAGCGCCACGATTTCTCCCAATGTGCCATTGTGGACAGTGTGCCATAAGTTCACCATCCCTGTCGAGCCAAACAATAATTACTTTAGAAAAGTTATACTTGTTTGTTTAATTATAACGCTTGTTAAATTCATTATTTCTTAAAAACTTATAAATTATCAGCACAAGTTGAATAACAGAAATCTAATCCTATATCTTAATAGTCAAAATTATTTAATATTTAAACAGGTTTAGTTACAAGATGCCAATTTCTTGTAGATCAATTTCCTCAAATTAAATCATAAATATTAAAAAAAAAACATTTCTGCCAGCATCCATAATGCTTGTCATAGTTCTGGAAGCCCTTTTTTTTTTTACTATTTTTAAGGGATTTTGTTGCTGCTGTTCCACTGACTGTTCTCGGTAAATAATATAACAAAAATATAATGTTTTCTCAACCTCTATCTTATCATTTCAGACTTTTATCTGTTCTCTAAAATGAATCAAAAGATGAAGGGTTATAGATTCATTCAGCAGCAGGAGGAAATTGCAATGACAAGAGCCCATAAAGATATCACCAAAAATAGCTTCCGGGATTGCTTTAACAAGTGGTATGGATCTAAACAGAAGGTGTAGCCACAGTAAAAGCTTATATTTTGAAAGTGATGAGGTATGAGTTCCTACATTTTATGTAATAAAATACGTGCCGTAAGTTTAGTCTATTTTTCCCTCCACTATGTATATGCCTATAAAGAAATAGCCACTAAAAGATATTGCATTATTTAGTCATTTCCTTGTCTTCTTACTGGTCCTGGTTTTCTGCGGGGTTAACTGATTAAAAAAAAGTTATATACTAATGTACGATGCCAAATATAGGATACGGAGGTCTTTCAGTGTTAAATTTATTTACTTGATAAACTGAATACATGCAATTATTCAATATTTCAAAAAGTCATCCTCAGACGAACAAAGAATATACAAAATTCAAGTAGTGATTTTAAAAAGTGTTATTTTTTACATTGACCAAACTTAAGAGAGTGTTCTAAACCTAAATGCATAGTAAGTGCTAGAATTTGAAGGTGTGCAATAAAGTTTTGATTTAAGTTTAAAACAAATATGGAGGATATTCACAACATACATGAAGTGTGGTTAAATAAAATACAGTGTAAAGTTAAGTAAAATGATATAAGAACAACAAAATAAAACTGAAACAAAGGTAAAGATATCAATTAATAAATTAATAAGAATAAAAAAAGTTAACGCCTGAATTTTTATGAAGTTTTATCCGTCTATTAGAGAGTTTGAGAGTGAGGAGTTGCAAGGTTTTAACAAAGATTATATATACAGACACCCAGATACAGGGTTGTGCAATCAAAACACCATTTAAAAATGGAAACTTGGGTCCATAGTGATATAAAATTATTTTCTAATATATTTTTTGCAAAATCAGTAGAGGTTGTGCTATTTTTAACATTGTCCTGGTGTTAATTTAAATGGCTTAATAACTTTTTAGTTGTGGCATCTATGTAAAAGAACTTTCTTCCCATTTGTGGTTGCCATAACAGGATTATGTAAATGCCAGACTTCTCCGAAAGGATAAGACAGTCCCAATCATAACATAGAATTCTATGGAGCCACAGCTGAAGTTTGATGATAATTATGACCCTGTGTTTTTATGTACGCACAAATGATTCATAAAGTAACAGGTCCTAGTATGGAATACGAGATTGTCCAAACATTAGCTTTTTGTTTTTGTCATTGGAATGGATAATGGTAGGTGGAAAGGAAGAACTGCAAACCAAGTTGTTGATATATTTAATTAAACTTGAAGAGTGTATACTCAGCATTGCAAATTGTGGTAGCTGCTAAATGCAGTTCATCCTGTATCAAAGATGGAGATGATGGATATAAGTATGCCCTGCAAATAAGTGTGGATATAGCTGTGTTTATGTATTCAAATGGCTGGAAGGAGGAAGAAGCTGGTATGATATATGGGGATAAATTGAACTTGTAGTGTATATGATATACAAGTGATAGTTCTGTCTGGCTGTCTAAAAATGTAATTTTTCTGTCTTGCTCTTTCTCAAGAGAGAATGAGATGGACAGATAAACATCAGATAGAAATTTAACAAATGTTAACAATTCTATTAAGATATCATCTGTGTATCTAAGATATAAAATGGGATAGCATATTTCAAGGGGGAAAGAGAAGACTAAATTCAATATTTTCTACGACCATATTGACCAAGATTGCAGAAAGAGGGGAGCCCATGGAGACACTCTGGATTTGCACAAAATAATGCCCATTAACTTCCTCCATCCCTTCTTGTCTACATCTGATTATATAACCATTCTGATAATCTGACAAGAATTTTAGACAAGAAGAAATGGACTAAATAAAGATTCAGTCCATTCCTTTTAGTCTTATCCATTTCAAGTCTTGTCTGATTATTTGGTCTAGTATAAAGCTACAAGCTGTTTTGACCAGAGAGACAGTATTACCATTTTGTACTTTAAAAATTAATTTCTCTTATTAAGTAATTTAGAACTGTTTTGAGGAAAAAAACTGAAGAGAATCAAGATTTAAATCAGCTTAAACATTTGATTACATATTTGACATATACAGTGATACCTCATACTTTGAATGATAATAACTTCAAACATTCAAGAATTTGAATGCTGAATTTGAGAATAATTCAATCCAGAACATGAACAACATTTCAACATTCGAATTGCATGCAGGGAAAAAATTGCACTTGACATGTAAACACCGTCTGTTGTACATCAAACTCATCTTTTGTTCTTGCTTTCAAAGCAAGAACAAAAAAGCACCAAAAAGACACGAGTGTAACACAAGACACTTTGAAAGTGTCTTGTGTTACACTCGTGTCTTTTCGGTGCTCTTTTTGCTTTATTTTTGGTGTGTTTGGTTATATATTTTTCCTATCTATTAACTGTGGCATCTAAGAAGAGTGTAAAAGCAATGAAATATAAGAAGGTTCAATGATTGAGACGAAAAAGTAACTTATTGCAAAGCATGAAAGCAGTACTCTCATGTGGCAGATCTGATGGCCATGTTTACAGTCATGGTGCGGAACTAGATTAATCTTGGCTTGTCATCAGTAAATATTTTATGTTTCCATAATTTTGCAGAGATGTAGCCTCTAATAAAAAGTAGTCTCTGTGAAGAAAGACCTAATGATCGGATTTGATGGAACTGAAAACAACTTAGTTTCTTCAATTTTTAAAATTTAAAAAAAAATACTGTCTGATATTTAATTGAAATAAATTGTGTATTCACTGTTTAAGTTTATCAAAATTGTTTAAGATCTAGAAAACGGATTAATTCACTCTCCATTAGTTCTAATAGGGAAAACTGATTTGGACATCGTGGAATTCAGAGTTCAAATGACCTCACGAAACAATTTAAATTCAAAGTATAAGGCACATCTGTACTTTTATTTATTTTGGAAGCAATTATTAACTTATAACATTATTATTTCAGAAGTAAATGATAAAATGTAACGTAAATAACATACCATAGAATCTAAAAGTTTATTATGTTCTTTTGTCTCCACTTCAATGTCATATGCAACCTGAACAAAAAAAAGTTTTTAAATATCTTCAAAGTAATTATTAAATATAAAATCAGTACAATACTTACACTTCTGAGTTTAGAAACTTTCTGCGAGAGTTGTTCCGTTAGATACCTATTCTGAGATTCCAGTACGTCATCATCTGTAACAAGACAGAAATAAAAATTTTGTTCATCGAGTGTATAATAATAAAATAATAAAGCAAATGCATATTTTAATTCTATTTCTTATTAAAATTAATTTAAGATGCTTTACGTATCTTTATCATATTTAAATAGTTTTCATTTATAATAAAACTGTCATTAGACAAACATAATTTATCCTTCAAAAATTTTGCTCTGAATATGCTCCTTCTGATCACTTTTCTTATGCAAATATACCATGAAGACTTCTAGATAAGCAATTTAATCAAAGTTATCAATTATATATTGATACCCATAGGCTGAGGCAATTAAGATGTTGGCCTACCACTCCAGGAAAATGGACCAAATCTGAGCAGTCGAAAAACTCCAGCAATTTTTTCTGGGAGTGATCTGTCCCAGATATGTTAGGCTCTATCCCTCACCATCTGACCACCCCTATTGCGGACCTAGATGAACCCTTGATGGGTATGATTAAAAAGGTTCTCTTACATCCCTAGGGCAGAAAGAGTAAAACAAAAAATAAAAAGAGGAAAAAAACACTACAGTGTCACTTTAATGTTAGTTAATTAGTTTATTTGATTACAGCAATGCAACATGTGGGTGATCTGCAGAGGAAGGATGGCTCCTGGGAGGACTTTTATCGAAAACTGGTCCCTATTTAGATGTTACAAATGTGAATAAACCTGGAAAACACCATGTGGTCAGCCCATTGGCAAGGTGGCAAACTACCAGTGTTCAGTGGTTTTATCCACTTGCTCACTGGTGGGCCACTTTAAGATTGGTCTTCGTTATTTACTGTGTTTGTCCCGTGCCTCACTATGGCTTTGGCCATACTCTCAATAGAGCCAAGTGACGAGGGATGGGAACATGTCCAAATCAAAGTAGCCTACTCATGAACGATAGTATAATAAGAGGACCTAGCAGGCTTAGGCCCCATTATCCTTGTTACCTTTGTAAATAAATCAATTAGAAAAAGTCAAATAAATTGCAAACACATTTATATATATAGTATCTAAAAGTTTACTTTTTATCTATAGAGTTAGTGTCTACATCCATAGTGGTACAGAGGTAAATATAGGTTTGCATATTCTAATTTGGACCCCCTAATACGCTACATCACGGAAGTATCCAGACAGAGGAAATAAATAATGAAAAAACAAAATTTTATACCTTTAATAATGAGTTTGACCTCTTTTTTTTCCCTAATTACAGCTTGTAAACAACTAAGCATTAATTCAACAAAGCTTCAAGTTTTTTTTATAATACTTTTGTCTTTTAAATTTGAAACTCTGGTGACAATGTTTTTAAGATCAGTTTTATTTCTGTTCTGATAGTCTATTCAATGTGATTCCATAAATGTTCAATTGGGTTGAGTTCGGGCGATTGTGGAGGACAGGGAAGCACTTTTATACGGCATGCACCAAGAAACACTTCGACAGATTTCGCAGTACTCTTCGAATCACTGTCACTCTGATAAACAAACCCTTGCCCTATCTTTAATTTTCTTACCAATTTCTGAACATTTTCACTTAAAATCTGTTTATACATCTGTTTTGTTGATTTAGTATTCTATTAATGAATTCCAGCACCATTTTCAGACATACAACCCCAAACTAGCAGCAAAATGCCTCCATATTTCACTGTAGGATTCAGGTTTTTCATTTTCAGAGATTCTCCAGATTTTCTCCATACTTTTACTACACTGTTTGTCGTTCTGAGTTCTGTAATTGTATCTTGTATTGTGGACTTTGGAATGGGGAACCGTTCTAAAAGATTTTGTACAGATTTTTCCCTTTTGCCACTCCTTAATAATGAGTTCTTTAAGAAGACTGGGTAACTCTTTCATTTCCATTGTTTACAACGAGAAAAGGAGTATCGAATGAATACTTTAACTAACTTGCTGATGAGAATAGTTGGAGACACATTTTTATGAAAATGACTGAACACTTTCTATCATTTATTTATTTCCTCTGTCCGGATACTTTTTTGATGTGAAATTTTCAGTCTGAAATAAAATTATATTTCTCTTTTTGATTAACTTCTATGCGTATTTAAATAATTTTTCTAGTGTAAAAAAGTCCGAGGAATTCAGATCTGTTGTTATTTTTTTCCTATTTCACACGAGAAATGAGTTATAACTAAAAAACTCTTACATGTTATAGGTGTCCGGATCCTTTTGTGACATAGCGTATAAAAAGCCGGCAAGGGCTCTCGCTTGACTTTCTAAGCACTTGAACAAGAGGTAATAGAGGTATTAACAGACGGAATTTTTACTCTTTTGGGATCAGAGGTCTCAAAACATCGAGATTTGCAAAAAAACATGCTTCATAATAAGCGGAGGTTGCAGGTTTGACCCCCGCTCTGGGCCGTTTCTTATCTTACAGACTATTCTAAATTTAAAATTAAATTATAATTATTACTTTTCTTAAGAGATGGCACCCAATGTCTACCTCAAGTTGTTCTTATTGTGTAATTTCTAATTAATATATGTAGCATAATTTCTGCCCAATTAATTTGGCTGATGGTTGGATTACGCTCTGTTTTTAATTTTGGTTAATTAATTCTTTTACTTAATAATTTTAAATGTAATAAAAGATATATATAAAAGGACTTATTTCATTTTTACTGGTCCCCGGTAAAAAATTCATTAGTCTGCAATTCATTCTAAATTGAGAATCATTCAGTACAAAAAAGTGTTATTTAAATGGCTGTAAAATGCATGAGACTATGTCCTAGATCCCCAATTATAGAATTATTTTGATAATGAATTTGGCAGACAATGGATTAGAAGTAAATTCAATGATATCTCATAGCACATAATATATGACCATTCACTCTGAAGAATTAGAAGAGAAAATCTCTCAAAGTTGTCTGAAAAAGAGCTATTGGAGACTGTTTTAATGATTTATAATTGTTAATATGACACCTAGCAAAACAAAAAATAATTAAAACGTGCACAAAAAATATAGGGAAATGTACAGGTGACTTCTAACTAGCAGGCCAAGTGAGTAAAATCACAGAATACATCTGACCGACGAGCTGGTCACGTGGAGTTTTCTGGTATTTCTAAATATCTAACACCTAAACAAAGGTCAATTTCCCATAATAGTCCTTTGAGGAGGCACATCCCCCTTGCAGATTTCTGATATGTTACACTGCCTTATTCTTTTAATCCAATCCAACTAGCACTCACAAGGAATTCGTGCAAAACATCAGAAATTAATGTTTTTGCTTTAACAACAGCTAGTCTCGATGTCTTCTTTTTGAGTATATGTGCATGTGGCAAAGTCATCTCATAGTAGGACCTTTTAATCTATCTGTGCATTGCATTTATTTACAATAACTAAAAATAATCAAAAGAGGAAGAGAGACAATAATTATTTTGACAATGACTGTTTTACCTGAACCTACATCAGGGGTGTCCAACCCATGGCCTGCAGGCCCAATAAACGTGTAAACAAAACCGACAAATGTTTTAATTTTTTTATTATTTATTTATTTCAACGGCATAAACTCAAAAAAGAAGTTTCACAAAGCCGTAAATATTTGTTTATATTTTATTTTTCAGTGGAAAGGAAATATTGATATTTTCAAATACTTGGAGATGTGTGAATGAGGAAGGATTACTAAATAAAGCTGGAGTTGTGACTCAAAGGATTATAGACCCAAATTTGGAAAAAGGAGGAAAAGGACGAAAGGTTAAATAGATTTATTTTGCAAATATTGACCCTTAACTTTCCAACCTTTCTCACTTCTTTATCTTTTGTTCTTTCTCTCTTTTCCCAGCATTTGGGTCTATAATCCTTTGAATCATAACTCCAGCTTTATTTAGTATTTCTTCCAGCGTTGCAAGATTTGGCTACATTGCGCCAAATGTGCCTACTATTTTTTAATTTGACGTAAAAAACATCATTTGTTGCTTTGGCTACTTTTTGGACTACATATTATTTATAAATATATTAGTTGAATAAAAATGCACTTTAAAATGGTGTTTTGTCTCTTTTTATTAATTAGAGACCCAAATAGAACAAATATTTGTGTTTTTGAAATAAATTTTCGTTTGTCTCTCTTATAATATTTCTATAATAAATTTATTTATTTCTAAGTAAAAATTGAAAGTGTCCGAAGAAGTAATTTTTTAAAATATCCTTTTTCGTGATAAAGATTTAATACTTATATTTATAATCTAGACATGTTAATCCTTAAATATACTTGCATATTGGGCCACAAATATATATTATATATACTTCTGGCTCGAAATTCTTTGACTTCTTCCAATGTGGCCCAGAGAAACAAAAAGGTTGGACACCCCTGACCTACACCAAGTAGCACCAATCCAATGACCAATAATACAAATTTCACGTTGGCTGTAATCCAGACATTTAAATAGGCAAGTCCAGTTAAAAAGCTGGGTTAATAGTGTAAGATTTAGTCACTAATATAACATTTGTATTATAACTATCAAGCGCAAGCTACTGTTTCTATGAAAACTTGGGTAAAACTCTTTGTTCTCTTTGTTAAAATTATTACTGCTCTTCTCTCTATCCGGATCATTTTAGTTTCAATAAACAAGTTCAGTATAATAAGAGATTGAGAGGCCCATCAAAGACCTAATATAGACCTAATAAATGCAATAAATTCAAAAAAGAATGTTTAAATGTCCATTATATGTGATATATATGTAGACTATATATATTTTATGATGTTATTATTCATTTAATGTGTGATTTTTGAAATTTAATTAGTGAAACAATAAATTTAGATCTAGTCTATTGAAAACAGTAAATAATTGCAAAACAGGACTTATATTTGGAATGAAAATAGCAACTAAATGCATTTAATATCTTCTATATATATTTTTAAATATATAGATTACAGCTACTAACAGATAGAACTTACTTTTACATAATTCATATATAAATACTGCATCTTCAAAAAAGAATGCTACCATTTTAAATTACCGTAACTACATTATATCGGTTATTATCCGAGAAGTATGAAACAAACACCGATCAACAGACTAACCATCCACGTTTAGCCTCCCATCCTCGTTGGCACGTTATCCTACCAAGAAACGGGAGATTGCCGGTGCCCCAAACCAATCTTTTATAAGAAAATATTTCCCCGAAGAAAAATGTCTGTACGCAAGGCTCCACAGAGCCATAACATGCCACCGCTCATCGTATATTACCTCTAAGAAGAACCGTGAACGAAAACGACAACTTCCCACACCGAAGGCACCGTCTACAGTCTATCATCATGCAACGGTCGTAATCTGCAGGAGCCGTAGAAGGAGCGGCAACAGATATGCCACATCGATCTCGGGAAGAATACCAGTATCGGTCAGACACGTGATGCACGCATCGAGAAACCGTAACGGACAGATGCGAAACTTCAGACCATTTACCATGTTTTTATGTACATTGCAATGCTATTAGATAATCATTTAAAATGGTAGCATTCTTCTCAGAAGATCCTTGTATACGCATTGACCTGGAAGTAAAATCTACTCTGTAAGACATTAAAAACATCATATTTTAGAATATAAATGGAATTAGAGGCCATAAAATAAGCAATAAACTTGAAATTCTCTAAATACAGCAATTACTATTAGAAAATTGTGTCATAGAATATAGCAGGCATAATTAGGCCTAACTTCACTGATGAAATTTGTTGTAAATTCGATCATTTCCTTCGTTTTAATAAATTAATTCGTATAATATTCAATAAATACGATACCTTTCGCATGATCCATCACGTTTGCTATCGATTCGAAGAAAATGGTATGATTAAATTGAGTAAATACAAATTGACAAATTTACTTTCATAGCATTCTAAAACCTGCACCGAACTTACTCCGTGTTTATTGATTGCGCATTTAATTACCGGGGAAACGGATTCGGAACGGTTCCGAACAAGAAAACGAACGTGTGGTAAAACATATTGTAAAATTTAATCGAAATTAATTTTTCCTTATTAATAAAAATACTTTTTTTAAATATTAATATTATAAATTTATTTTAAATTATTAAAGTACGTAAATTTAATTTGAATTATGTAAAATTTAAAATTAGTGATGTAAATTTTATTTATGTTACCGTAAAAATCGTAATTGTTTTCGATACTTTTCATTAAATTCGCGGTAATTAATTACGCAGTGAAATAATTCGTGTGATTTTACTTGTATTATATTATAAAAATAACAGGGTCTTATCGATGGCAAAGTAGTTAAGGTAGCTGCTTACCATTCTGAGGGGTCCGGGATCGAATCCCGATGAATCAAAGAAGTCTGAAAATTTTTCGGACGGTGGTCCATCTGGATGTGTTAGGCTGCATTACTAATAATGGACTTGCTAAAAGACCCCTTTAGTGCGGAAAGAGGTTAAAAAATTGTTAAGTTAACCTTGTAGCGTGTACGGTACACGTTATTTTTATTACGAAATTTATTTTGGAACACAAAAGTAATAGTATAAAAATTAAAAGCAAAACTAGTCTAGAACTTACCTTTCTGTAAAATTGATCGAGATAAAACGGATTGGTTTTAATGTGGGTATGAAGAATATATAAAATAAGTGGTATACACAGCATAAGAGTAGCGTAAAATTGAAATTAAAACTGTCTACTGTCGGCCAACAAGACCAACCCATGTTCAGTGGATTAAACCACTGAACACGGGTTGGTCTTGGATTCGTGTCTGGTTAACGAGCTGGTCACTTGGAGTTTCTGGGTTTTCTTCATGTTTACAACACATAAATAGGTGCCAGTTTTCCTTAGAAAGTTCTTCCAGGAAGCATCTGCCCCTCGGCAAATCGCCGAAGAGAAGGGAAGCAACCGACCAATAACAAATTAACCTAAACCAAAACTGAAACTTTGCCTCTACCTAACGAAACCGAACCACCAGGTGTTGTGAAATTTTATCAGAACACCTGGTGGTTTCGGTTTCGGTTTATCAGAACAACATTTTTGTAATTAATCTATGATTTGTTGAAGTAAACTTTAAAGAAAAAAGAAAATATTTTATTGATTTTTTAAAAAATGTGGTATTATAAATGAGTGTAGAACGTTTTAAAAATTGTTGAAAACTTTTTTTGCACTAAAAGAGCCTTTTAGCAAGCTCAATATGGATTCGGCCAGGCCAAATGCGGAGGAGGTTGGATGGTGAGGAACGGCAGCCCGACACATCGGGAAGGAAAAACGCTCTGGAGAACCCGAGATTGAATTGTTCGCAGTTATATTTTTTACGTTTGTAATACATTTATCATCACTGGAATGAAAACAGGTCGACAGTATAGTCATGTCATAATAACTGCCCATTGCTGGCAAGGAAGCACAGGAGTAATTGTTTCTGGTGGACACAGGAACTTGCAAAGCATAGGAAGGTAGAAAAGAAAGATTTTAGGGAAGCTAAGATAGCAGGTAAATGGCAGGTTTACTAAAAATCCCTGAAAGATTATAACAAATCTCTTAAGAAGGTCGAAAGGAAATCTTGAAGAGAGTTCTTGAAGTGGCAGAAATATCAAAAAATTCTTAGAAGAGAGGCACCAATCACAAGCGAAGAGCAGGCAAGAGACACTTGTTTTGCTTTTTCTTTTGTTTGTATACGGCAACGCGACACATGGGAGAACTGCCGAGAGGTGCCTCCCAAGAGGATTTTGTATGGCAAACTGGCTCTTATTTATGTGTTCTGAGTTTTAAGAAGAAAACTCGGAAAACTCCACGTGGCCAGCTCTTTGGCTTGGCGCGAACACATGATCAACTACCAGTGTTCACCGGTTTTATCCACTTGGCCACTGGTGAGCCAAGAGACACTACTTAACCCATCAGTAGCGGAACAGATAACGCCACTGAACAGGCCGTGGATTCGCGTCTGATCAACAAGCCAGCAGTATCGAGTTTTGTGGGTTTTCTTCATTGGTCTCACAGTTAGAGAGAACCATTTTCCCACAGAAAGTCCTCTCGGAGGGCATTCCTCTTTGGCAGATATCACACGTGTTGTGTTGCCGTATTCCATCAAACGTACCACAAACAATCCAATTTTCTTATATGTAAATCTTTATTGTATTTTCTTTTTTAAATATGTATACTGCCCTAGCCACAACACATAAAAAGTCAAACGCTATCGTAATAAAGAAATAAAATCAAAATATAAAACGTTAGTTCATCTTCCAAAGCAGTGAAAATTTAAATAACGTAATTGCTTGGATGGTCGGAAGGCGGAGGCAGTTAAGGAGCCATCCTACCGCTCTGGGGAATCCAGAACCGCAACTTGACAAGCAATCCGAGAAAATTTGCATACGAAATAGGCAAACGAATCAACAAAAAGAATATTGTTTATGTTACGAAATAATCGTAATGTTAAATTAATTATTAGAGATCGCTTTACAAGCAACTAATCAAAATGGCCGAGAGAAAGATTGGAGACATTTCTACCCTAATCTGTTCTGTGTACACTAGACTCCCTATAACACGTTATAGGGAGTCTAGTGTACACAGAACTTTCGTGTTATATGAATTCCGTATTGTACGAGTCACTTGAATATATGAGCCAATCACAGCCCGGCACTCGTGCAGTTAGCGGCTACGTCTGTTTGAAAGGTTTTCTTCCATAAAATGAATCGATTCTAGACCAATTTGACTCAACATTTCCAAACCACGTATAATTTTTTTTTGGGAATAATCCATATAAATTATGCTATAAACAAAAAATTGTAAGAATACTTACCGAGTGCGCACCGTTCGAAGCAGAGCCGGCCCTACCATAGGGCGAACTGAGCAGCCGCTCCAGGCGCTAAGTCCTAGGGGGCGCCTCAGTGGTAAAGAAAATTAAAGAAAAAAATATTTTTTTCACTTTTCGATATTTTAATTGCAAGCGTGTGGCCAGTATATGAATGGCCTTATCTGTTGAGACGCGCGTGGGCGGGGTTCCAACCCCGTCTACCTCAAGCAGGGGTGCCACCTGCGGTGACAACTCTGTTGGCACCGCAGGCACCGCTGTTTTAGTTGGCGAGTCCACTTCGAAGCGTCGGCACGATCTGTGAGGCCCCGGAAATAGCCCCCGCAAAAGGGAAAGATATAAGAAAAAAAACAGTTTGTTAAGTTAAATCGTCAAGAAAGCAAATTATATAAGTATCGAATCGGCGATACCCGACTTTGACATCAGCGCTCATAAAGAATAAAGGGAAAAACAAACTTTTAGATATAAAAGAAGAAAATTTNACATTTAAGGGGCGGCATTTCGAAGACTTGCATCACACTGAGGAAATCTACGGCACGGCCCTACTTGCATGCATCACTGGTATAAATTAGGGGCAACAAGGGGGGGCGCCATAATAGGATCTCGCTCCATCCTAAAACTTACCTCGGGCCGGCACTGGTTCGAAGACACCATTGCTTAAGCTTGTTTCCGTCGCGGAGCAGCTCATCGAACGGCGGACGTGTTTTATGGTAAGTTATTCTGATGACTAAAGACAAAATTTTAGATAACGTAAAAATTATAAAATTACAGTATTAGACTTACATTACCTAATTTATATACTGAACAGACGATCGTAAACTCAACTTTCCCGTCTAAACTCTCCGTATATACGCGTGGCTCTGGACGGCGAAAAGTATTTCGGCTGTTCGTCCGCTATTGGTCCAGATTCGACCAATCCTGTCGCGACACGACAATCTGTCTCATTCTTTTATCGTGTTATACGAGTCTCTTTTAGCGAGTTATACAAACACGATCGCAATTTTTTCGCCGTGTTATACGAATCCGTGTTATATGAACCCGTGTTATAGGGGTCTACTTTATATATAACTTGACAACCAGTTTCTATAAATTGCGGACTAGAAATTCTGTAAACAATGCATTAACAGGATCACAGGATTATGTTTGTAACACCTAAATGGAGGCCAGTTTCCCATAAGAGTCCTTTCAGGATCCCCGTGAGGACTCTTATGGGAGGACTCTTATTGTGTTTATAGTGTTTAGTGTCAAGAAAATCAACGAAAATGTATTTATTCATTCAGCAAGGGGCATGTTTTCTGCAGAGGCTGTGTGCATGCAAGGAATGCTACTTAACGTGTGTCCCACTGTTCACGTATAAAATTTGAAGGCAATGAACAGCCAACTTTATTCACAATGTTTAAAATAACACACTACAATGTCACTTTAAGGTTAGTTGAAAGTTATTAAATAAATTATTTTCGAAAGAAGCCCGAAGAACGATAGATGTACATGTCAAAATTAAAACCTCTTTAAATTGATTACAGTATACGAGTTTTTCATTGTTATATTGTTATTTATTATAACAATGTCGGCCGCTGTCTCTCACTACCCGGTCTCCCCATTGTGGGCCTGGCCGAACCCATAATGGGCTTGCTAAAAGAGGCCCTCTTAGTGCCCACAGGACAAAAAGACTTAAAAAAAACCACAACCAGTGTTTAGTGGTTTTATCCACAGGGCCACTGGTGGACCAAAATAGGTACAATTTCAAAGGCCTCTTACTCTTCAGTGAGAATGAAGAGTATTTAGTCTTTTATACAAAAAATTTCCCCCGTAATTTAGCAATAATAAACTTTGAATAATACAGTAATAAATACAGTAACGTAACTTTCCGGCAAAAACCTTTAAAACTGTGTGTGGCGCCCGCCATCTATTCCGATATTTTATTTAAAAACTTTATATCCAATTAATTATTATGAAATGGCAAAAAGTTTAATCTTGAGGGTAGGGACGACTTTCATAAAAGAAAAGTTATAAGTGCTAATCACGTGTAAAATCTACGTTAAGTCCTACCCCACTCGAGATGTGACACATGACCGCCTCTATCTCCTCACCCGCTTAACCTTTAACCACCAAAATTTAACAGCACCAAACCACTGAATATACAAACCTCCCTGCAAAATTTCA